TGGTTGCAATTACTGAGTGCTGAGAATATGTGAGGCTGCAGAGTCTGAGTTGCTCTCCACAGCAAGATTCCGACGTACAGCTAGCCCCAGATGAGCAAGTGGAGGGCACAGCGGTCACTGAGCCAGTCTGAGGACCAGGAAGAGGCAAAGCGAGGATGCATTGGAAGATCAACACTGTTTTATCACTTACCACACCCAGGAGATGCGGTCAAAAAAGTGGTGAATGTGTAAAATAAAAATATTTGTTACAACAAAAATCCATTACTATTAATTTTTCTCAAAATGTTCTTTGTTTGGAGCATGCTTGTCCCGTCATTCTCGCCACTTTCTGAGCAGCTCCAGAGTCCTCTCTCCGGTCTACCGCAGCTGCCTTGAGGTCCTGAATAGATTCCCAGCATTTACGTTTCACAATCATCTTGACTTTGAACCAAAACCACACAGTGGCAGATCCGGTGCCCAAGGTGGATGAGGACACACCGCAGTGCCTATGAGTCCACCTTCCGTCGGGTGACCCTCGACAGACGCCTTCATTGTGCCTTTGATCACAACTCACAGAGCCAGGAAAGAGCCCCTCTGGCGCGGCTTTAGAGGTGCAGTGTTTGGTGGGATAAATGTGGTCAAAGCAAAGGGAAGCATTCTGAGGGAGCTTAATGGTAATGCAGATCTTACAGTTTTTAAATGACATTTTTAAAATGACACATTTTGATCACATTCCTGTGCCATGTGTGCCCTGTGTCACATCAAATACCATGCATCAGGCCAGGCCCATGACTGATTGGCAGCAAGGAGACCTGCACGGGGCTCAGTCGCCCCCTCTTCGCAAGGACTTAAATAGAGAGTCATGCGTGGAATCCTTCCCTTAGGTGTGGCTGAAGAGCTTACCTGGCCCAGTCCACCATGCCAAGAGCCAAGCCAGCCCTGACCACAAAGTAAAGTGGTCCCCAAGAGATCAAGCCACTTGCCCACTGTGCCTGCCAGCTGGGGCCTCCTGACGGTGCCACTGCTTCTGCCATGGGGACCAAAGCAGCCCCAATTTCATTCGATGGCTGTGAAGATTTAGGGTCTGACACTAGTAAAACCACTGGATACAGCTCCACAAATGTTTCCCATCTTCCTCAGTTTATGGGGTTAAGAAAATGGGCAAAGGAATGGGGAGAATGGTGTTACCCCTCAGGGCTGGGCTGCATGAGTCATGAGGGTTTTGTAGTGTGACCCCATATCCCTGCTAGGCCTGCCTCTCCACAACTCTCTGTAGGAAGGTGATCCCAGCAAGCCACAGATGAGCAGCAGGACAGTGCAGAAGTGAGTGGGTGGGGTGCAGGCCTTCCCTTTCCAGGTCTCCTCCTCCTGGCCACGTGCAGCTCCCAGGGCCGCTCTGCTGGCTCCCAGCAGACACCAGCTGCAGGAAGCATCCTAGTGCACCTGCCCTGCGTGACCTGTGCCCAACGCCCAGCTCTCTATGTTTCTTGCTGCTTAGCTGACATGGGGTCCACTCCCTGCTGGGCCAAAGCGTATGTGGGCTTTGGAGCCCAGCAGTCCACATCCAGAGGCTAGCTTCTGCCCTACACAGTGACCTTGATGTAATTTCTCCAGCCTCCACTCACTCCATCAGTTCCCAAGCCACAAGGCTCTGGTCAAGGGCACTCTCAAAACAGCTATGGCAGCATCTGCCACCGCCCTCCCACAGAAATGCTTGCTTCCCATGATGCTTTGCCTGAAGACCAATTACCTTCGAGACAAGATCAGCACCTGTGTCCCTGGAGCCCACCCGGGGAGTGCCCACTCCAAGATGGGCCAGGTTCAGGTCTAAAGACCTGAAAGGAATAAAAGGATGGATTGGATTCAAGAGCAAATGCATATACTCTGGGATGCTGAGGCAGGAGGATCACAAGTTCAAACATAATTTGGGTGTCTTAGCTATATAGCAAGGCCCTATCTTAAAAAAAAAAAAAAAGACTGGAGATGTAGCTCAGTGCAAACGTCCTGGCTTAATCCCCAGCACCAGGGGAAAAACAAGAGTTAATATATGAACCTAGACAGGAAACTTTTAGTTTGGTGTCTCAAGCCTAAATTCCTGAAAGGTACTATGGTGTCCTCTGAAGTCCTTCCTTTGGAAGATAAAATACTTTAACTGGAGCCCCCTGATAAGAGGACACACTAAACCAGTTTTGAAGAAGCTTTCTGGAGCTGCCTCAATTTCCCTGAGGCTTTGAGATCTGCCAGCATTGCATCTCCGGATCTCCTGTAGCTGGGCAAAGGTTAGGTGTGGACCTTGAGGTCCTCTGAGCCAAGCAGCCTGGGTTGCCATTGTGTGCATCTGTTGCCCTCTGGCGGACGGAGTCAGCACCCACAGGGAGGCTTGGAACGTGAGTTCCTCTTTCCCATCCCCAAAGCAAAAAGTTGGTTTGGAAATACTGGTTTGGTTTGCAAAGCACTTTCTCATTCGATGTCTTGTGGTCATGTGTCAGCCTTAAAACTACCACGCCAGACAGCAAGGACGCTCTCTCTCTCCTTCTCTCTCTCTCTTTCTGGGCCGAAATGTGTCTGTGAAATCTCCACCGAGGGCCACACACTGCAAGCTTGGTCTGCGGAATGGACATGCTGTGAGACCACAGCGTCTCTCGGGAGACTCTCAGATTAAGGGGCACAGGTCCAGGGAGGGAGCTGGGGGCCGTGGTGTCTGTCTCCTGCTCAGTTGGAGGCCACTGCTACAGTTCTACCCTCACCAGCAATGAGATCGGTGGGACCCCTCTTCTCGCCTTGGTCTCGGATCCTCCAAACTGTGTGGAAGCCTCTGTTTTATTCAAGTCAGCAGCCTTGGGTACATGGCAGCAGTACATAAAGCTAACTCCTGCAGGCTGGGGTTTCTGCTCCTGAAGTCCAAGGAATTAGGCTCTAATCTCCAATTCAGATGCTGCACGCCAGTCCTCAATGCTGGCTCACACTGGCTCACTCTTAATCCCAGCCACTGTTGCTCCAAATATCTATGCATGAGGCTGAAGGATATATCTTGGAAGACTTTGTAGATGAGGCTGGTGAGCACAGGGCCCAAATACTTGAACTGGCTGTCAGAAGCATCTGCCTGTGCCACAGACCTCAGAGTCGGCCTGAACACCCTACCTGACTCCTAGAGGCTGATGCTCTGACCTCTCTGTCCCCCCAGCATTTGACTCCCTGTACACCTCACACAGTGAGTCACTGCAGACATCTCCCGGGGACATATGTCCACTAACACCGTGCACACCAGGGCGGGCTCCTGACCACCATCTGGATAGTCGTGGGGACATCCAAGGACAGGCAGCAGCAGCGTTGCGCACACCCATGTGGTGACACAGCGAGCCACTTCATGCGCTGAGGCTGTGATATAGAGGCTGCATTAAGAACCGTGCCACACTGCACTGTCTCCCACAAGGAGGTCTCCATCCCACATGCCAGCTCCTTGAAATCTCTGACTTCCAGATCCCAGGGTGGGCTGTTTATCACAGAAAGCACAATGACTAATTCTAGTCTGAAAGATTAGCACCCTGCACCCTCCCACCACAGTCCCATCTTCCTTGTAGCTGGGAATTTTAATTCTGTCAGCTGATGGCAGGGAAAAAGCAAAATGTCCCAAGCTTGAAGACATAGACACAAACAGTAACACACATCTTGGGGACCATGATGGAGGGGAACCCCAAATCTAGATGTCCTACAGCCCCTGTGCTCCAGACAAAACACAGAAAAACTGTCAGCTGCCCAGAGTATCCCTGGGCCAAACTTTAACATTTCTCAAACATCCGGCGAGCATACTGTATCATCCTCATGTCACAGATGAGGAAACGGAGGCTCAGTGAGATTACCGCACTGCCTAAAGTTACAGAACTGATTGTGGGCAGGGCCAGTAATTTGCACCTGAGTGTATCTGATTCTAAAATGCATGCTCTTTCCGTGACTGCAGAGTATCAGAGGCAAAAAAACAAGGAAGATACTGAAAAACGAGTTCCCTGCTGAGAAACAGCTCCACCTGAGCCATTCACCCTGACTGAAAATGCATCACCCGTCATCTGAAGGGCCCCTGAGCACAGGAAGCTGAAGTCCAGGTTGATCCCATATATTAGGAATTATGGAGGACGGGACAGGGAGGGAAGAGAAGGGCGGAACACCAGGGAAAGAAGGCCCTCTTGCTTTCTAAGCAGTAATGTTTTCTCCTAGCAAACGTGTAAGGTGCACACGCATGCACACACACACACACACACACACACACACACTTCCATTCCAGGCCCCCAGGCCTCCCTTGAGCTCTGCAGGAAACCCAAGGTCACCCAGATTCTTAACCACTGTGTAGACCTACAGTGGCCTGTAACCCCAAGACCTCAGGAAGGGAAGTGCAGGCCTCTGTGGGGAAAGGGCCCTGCGTGGTCTCCTCTTTGGCATGAAATGCCATTGGAGACGATGCACAGATAGTCCCAGGACACCACCTGAGCGACTGAAGGCCTTCTGTCTGCCCCTCCCAGGACAGGGGCCGCTACTCATCCAGTTTCCAGGTCTCACGCTGACCTGGCCAAGGCTGCAGCTCAGTGTAATGCTCTTTGCAAACAAAACAGAACCAGGCCAAGCCAAAGCCCCTGGTGGCTGGTCTTGTTAGGGATGTCCTGTGATCCAGAGCAGCAAAGGTCACCAAAACTGGATCCTACAAGGGAGGCCACTCAACAGCTGTCGAACAGCAAGGAGCGCAGTATCCACCTAGGATTTGGCCAAAGCCTTCTGAGCCAGGGACCCTCAGCGGGGCCTCCCGGCACTTTCTGCTCACTGCTCACCAGGCAGGGCTCCCTTCCGACCCACTTCCTGCCAGCCAGCATCTTCCTGCTGGATCACAAGCCACCGAGTACATGGGCCATTGGAGTGCACCTGATACGCAGAGGCTGCCTTTACGTCCTAAGATAAATGCCTGTGCAGATTACTGGTATAATTTTTTAGAAAGTAGCACTAAATTGAAATATAAGTCAGACATTAGAAGAGAGTGATTTTTAGAAAACACTTGTATTTCAGTGAGGAATCTCACTAGCTCGTCCATCCATGGACACTGCATAAATCTAAATTAAGAACAATCAGAAGTCATTGCAAATAAGACATACAGGGGAAAATCAAAGAACAAGTTGAATACTAAATAAAAATTAGCAAATAGTCATTGATGAGCCTTTTGTATGTAACTAAGTAGGTAATATCCTTACATGAACGCCAGAGGAATGTTTACATGTCGTGTCCCACAGGCAAATAACTTCGCTGCATGAGTGTCTCCAAGCACCGCTTGACAATCACTTTTCTGGGCCCCAGCCACCAACTGCCGGGAGTGTCACCTCCAATCCCTTCATTTGTACGATGCCCTAAGAAATGCAGCTAGATGCAGCAGGCGGCTCTGCCTAGGAAGCCTGTCTCCTCCCATCCCCTTCTGTCCCCCTGTCCCCCGACCTCAGTGTGTGTCTCCTGGGGCCCTTGGGCTCCTCCACGTGCTGATCAGGCCACTTGTCTCCCAGTCCTGTTTCCCTTGGGTTCTGTGATGCCCAAAGGAGCCTAGAGGCCTCATCCCAGACACCACTGCTCCTGATAACAAGCCCACTGCAGGCACTTAGTCCAGACCGACCCACGAGGCTCGGCCAGAATGTGGGAAGCAGCAGCAGCCATGGAACCCGGGACCTAGGATCACCGGCAGCCAGGAGGATGCAAGGCTGTTTGCACATCTCTTATCATCCATGCTCTGGGTGTGGCCCGCCTCCCCAGCCTTCTGGGTTTCTGTCTTTAGGGTGGGGTGGGGGCAGAGACCGAAGGTCCAGTTGGAGCTTGGACACCTCTCCTGTCCGCTCTCAGAGGCCTCAGTAACATCCCCTTCTGGGCCAGCAGCAGGTGCCCCTGGTTCTGGTGGCCTCCTGGTCTATACCACCTCTTCATGCTGGCCCTGCATTCGGTCAGTAGGGATCCTCTCCCCAAGCCCAGCCACAGGGTGCACAGTGACTCGTGGCAGAGCCTGATAAACATGGTCAGTTCCTGCAATGTAGCTTCTGGGAACAGACTTCAGTTTCCCTGAAGGGGACAGGCACAGAGCCTCTTGAGGGGACTCCCATCAACCACCAGATGTCTGGGTGAATCTGCCTATAGCCTTCAGGTCTTCTGGACTGGCCCCAAACCCACAAGGCACAAAGCAACCGCCAAGCTAGAGCTACAGCTAAACTCTGGGTCAGGCCTCTTGCCAAGGACAGCTGGCTTGGGGCTGTCTTTTCTATCTGCTCCATACTCAGCTCAGGCTGAGGCCGGCTCTAGAAGCCACACCCAGATTAACAGAAGGCACTTTGACATGAAACCATCCCACCATCAACTGGAGTATCAGCTTGGAGAGCAAGGCAAAGCCCTTGTTTAAATGGTTTAAACCCTCTCCTGGGACATGCAGGGTTTGTGTATGGCTGTCCAGCATGACCAGCCATGCACAAGCTCAGGCCTCGCCACGCCCCGACCCCAACAGGTGAAGATGGGGCCCCGGGACAGATGTGTGGTCAGATGATGGTGCAGCCACAGCAGTACCGCTGCGGGTAGTCCACCGCGTACACCTGGTGGTCAGTGCCGTAGACGTAGTAAACAGAAGTCTTCCCTTGGTACCGGTAACGAACTTCTGTGAGGGGGACCAGCTCGATGGTCTGGCGCTGCGGAGACAAATGAGGAACAACAAACTCGAGTGTTTCATTTGTCACTTGCCTGCTCCAGAATCTTCAGTAGCTCCCTGCTGCTGTGAGATAAAGTTCATGCTCTGGAGTTGGTGTGGACTCCAGAATTTGCTGCAGAGTCCGATCTGTCTGTCTAGATTTATGTTCTGCTCTGCTCCTTCCCATAGCCTGCACCCTGGGAAAAACTGAATTTCATCCTCAGCCACCATCAGAATCCGTGTTTTACCAAGTAGGGTGGAAGGCTCCCCAGGGAAAGCCACCAGCCAAACCAGATGACATCCAGGGCACTAATTTTAAGATGAGGAGTGGGGGGAGCTGGAGGATAAAGTCATATTAAACGTTTTTATATTGAAACACCCTCAGAGGGACTAGGGCGTGGTTTGTAAATTCTGGGTTAAAGTTTAGGATAAAACATTGCTACCAGAGAAACTTCAGAGCTTTCTGGGCTGTCAGGCTCCATTCCCAGACCTCTCTGGCCCCTCCAGCTTCACGCTCTTCCTGACTTGGGCAAAATCTTTCTCAAGTGCGCCCTTCTGTTACAGTTTCTGTCTCAACGTCCGCTTATCAGGACGCAGGGGACCCAGACTCCGGTCCTCATCTGCGAGACTCAGGCCTAGCCACCAAGTCCCTGTCACAGAGCTCTGCTACAGGGCCAACCTCCCACAGTCCCCAGCCAGCAGCAGTGACAAGAGGGGCAGCACAGAGGTACCTGGGGACTTGGGAAGGGTGGGCAGCATTGCCATCTAGTGCCCATCAGAATAAACTGCCCAAACAGGGCGGCTGGGAGCAGGCTGGGATCCAGGGTCCAGCCTCTCTCCTGAATCTCTTAACACTCTCCTTCCTTAACTGGACAACAGGGAGTCAGAATCCAAGCCACACCCTGCCTGGTGTATGCAGCCTTGTGTCCTCTGCCCCCTGGTCACACAGTGCAGCCCTGGTACTGCTGCCTCCTCCGCGTGACCCTGTCCTGACCCTTCCCTTCCTCAGCCCCAGGCTCAGGAGCCTCTAGGCAGAGAGTGAGGCTGAGTTTCCCCTTCTGATGACCAAGCAACAGCACCTCTGCCTGGCCCCAGAGCCTCAGTTGACAGTCCCAGACCTAAGCCCCCGAGGTCAGGGCCCCCCACACCAGCCCCTCCACCTCACCTGCTGCAGGATGCGGCCCCGAGAGGCCAGGGCAGCACTGTGCTCCTCGATGCCCCTGCGAGAGGCCAGAGAGATCTCCTGCAGGGGGAAGTCCACAATGGGGTACACCTGGGGGAGACACAGACAGAGACCACCTGGCTTTCTCACACCCACAGCGTCAGCACTCAGAGCCTTTGGCTTTGGGGTGTGGCTGTATGACTGGCAGAGAACTCAGATCCACTCCTCCCTTCCATACTGAAACTACCTACTGTGTGCCTACTGCAGACATGCGGTGCACCCCAGTAAACCCTAGAGCTCACAGTCATCCTACGTAAAGTCCAAGGACAAGGGCGACTGCTCCCCAGACCCTGTGTCCCTGGGCCGCACTGGGAACCTCCTACATCAAGGCCAGGCCTGTCCTCTGGGCCTCTTTGTGTCCTTGAAACTTCTGAACCGTAGCCCTGTCCCTCCACCCTCTAAAAGCATTACTCAGTGTCCACCTGTACCTAGTGCTACTGTGGACGCTGCGGGCAGGGAGGTGATTTCCAGTGTCCCTGCCCACCAGAGCACACTCTCTGTAGGCCCATCCAGAATCCTCAGCCCTGTGGATGAGCCCTGTGATGGGATGAGCCCCGGGGGGAGCCTAGCAGGCGTGAACCCCCTCTCCCAGCAGGAGACCTTGGGGCAGAGCCCAGAAGGAGTCTGTTTTTCCTCAACTTTGCCTCAGGAGCAAAAAGGCAGCCATAGACAGCAAATAACCCAGCAGGTCCAGCTGGGATCCAAGAAAATCCTACTTATCAAAGCAGGCATGGGCCAGGCTTCCAGACCCGAGGACATCCAAGCTCCAGGACAGCAGGGCTCACCGACCTCCTTCCTGCCAGGGCAGCCACGTCCCCACCAGGCCGCCCACCAATGACTGTGGCCCCCACAGCTGCAGAAGAGCCGGTCCTCTGCCCTGCCAGCCCTCCTTACTGCCAAGTTCTCGTCCCTGAAGAGGCTTTCTCCTCTGGCTTTCCCCAGGAGCTCCCTGGGGCAGTCGAGGTGGGGCTCAGACACGAACTCAAACACGCTGTTCCTCCTGGGAGAGAGAGCAGAGGGCCAGGTGGTCCGCACAGGAGCTTGTGCGGCAGGGCAGGGACAGGGTCACGGGGTGCAGCGCAGGAGAGGGGCAGCCCCAGGACCTTTGGCATCTGTAAACGTCAGTAACCCCCATGCACCTTGGGGAGTGAGAACGGAAGCTGAGCGTTCATGTCTGGGACTTCCCTGCACTTTTGTCCGGGCACAGGAGGACAAACCCTCTCTGCAGAGTCATGGTGGATGGGATGCCCCAAGGTCCCCAGCGTGAGCGCTCAGGAGTCATCGGGAGCTCAGGCACCAGAGCACAGGCACAGCAGCGCTCCAGCTCAGGGCCTTGGGCCACCCCGCGACGTGCCCCCTCCCAGCCTCTTCTGCCCTGGCAGCTCCCTGCACCCCGAAAGGCCTCCTGCGTGGTTTCTCGGTCGTGTCGCCTTCCCCGCCTGGCACCAGGGCGCCGCCACCTACCACGTGGTGACCAGCTGGACAGAGTGCACCAGCTTCCGCTCCCCCCGGCAGGTGGCGCACGTCTTGCGCCCTCTTCCAGAGCACGCGCTGCACCTGCGGGCCACAGTGGGCGCTGCTGGCTGGCTCGCAGGCTCCAGAGAAAGCCAGAGCGGCGCCCTCCTCGGGGTGGGTGCCCACGCCCTCACCCGCCCTCCGTCCTCGAGGCTGCCCCTCCCGCCCAGCCCGCGGGGGCCTGAGCTTTGCTCCCCCCGCCCTGCGCCTGGCCTTCTCGGCACCCCCTCTCCCTGGCACGACAGGCACAGCACCCAGGCCAAGGCCACCCCACGGCCTGACTGGAGCTTCCTTTCTTCTCTCCCGGGGTGACTGAGCCGGCCACGGCGGCCCCTCCACCGCTCCAGCTGCATCCAAAGAGCCCTGGGGCCCTGCGGGAATTGTATTGCTGGAGCTCACGGGCACTTGAGCCTGTAAACGTGTTTTTGCTAATGCCAGTTTATACTGAGTTTTTTCTCCTGGCAGAGAAAGGAGCCTGAGTATCCTTCCAAACGGAAGCTCTTCCCTCCTCCTGGTAGAAAGCCCACCACGCCTTGCCTGCCGCTGCCAGGGGGAAGATCTGAGGCATGATGAGCCAGGGGTACCAGTGACCAAGCCAGCCTTGAAATATTCACACTCCTCTTGATTTTGTTTCTCTTTAAAGACTTGTAAGTGCGTTAAAGGATGTGATTTACAAAATGCAAGGAGCAAAGAAGGAACAGTGTCCATTGTTTAGTCAGTCAACCAACTTGCCTTGGCCCGTTCAGGCCCTGCCACAGATTTATAAACAGAGGTTTGCCAGTACCTGCTCCTCAGAGGCAATTCTTACCTCTGTAGGTAGTTTTGGATAATCACAAAGAAACTCCCTACTCCCCATCCTGCTCACTTGTTTGGGGTTTGGTTTCATTTTGTTCTGTTTTGTTTTCTGCTCTGCCATTCAGGCTGGCCTTGAACTCACTCTGTAGCCCAAGCTGGCCTCAAACTCACACCGGTCCTCCTGCCTCAGCCTCCTGAGTGTTGGAATTACAGGGGTGCTCCCCACAACTGGCACATACTTGCTGAGTGCCACGTTGCCTGGGAATGCCAGGCCTGGAGAGGAGCTCAGCCCTCCGTACCGAGGCCTGGCAACACCTCTGGACACAGACAGTGGAAACCAGGGCACCAGAGAGCCAGGACACTTCCCCTGAAGGAAGGGAATCCCCACCTGCCCCTACCTGCGCCTGCCAGAGCCTGAGCACAGGGGACACCTCCGAGGTGGCCGGGCTCTGCGCTTGGTTCCGCTGCATGCTGGGCACCTCACCTGCAGACAACCACAGCCTCAGCCCGTGGGCTGCTGGGAAGCAGGGCACCAGCCACGTCCTCTGAGCACAGCACGTTGGATGTGGAGTCCCAGACGCTTCGTTACTGGATCCCTGGTGCTTTTGAGACCGAAGCCCCTCTCCCTTCAGCTTCCAAGCCCTCGGAGTCCTCTCACCCAGTGCCAAGGGGGACAGGAGGGCAGGGGCTGCAGGGGTTCAGCGTCAGGGGACAGGAGTGGCGAGGATGCACACAGGGACCACTTTTGGAAATGGCCTGGGTGCTGCTCACAGGAGACGGGAGGCACCCAGAAATGAGGAGAAACAGAAAGGCCAGAGGGAGAGGGGCCCAGGCAAGCCACCAGGAGCGAACTTCAGGAGTGAGGAGACAGGAGAGGAGAGAGAAGCCAGGCACAGGGACCCACAGCAGCCTGTGAGCCACAGGACAGGAGCTCTGGGCAAGAGAAGGCAGCCCACCAGAGGGCAGTGTAAGAAATGGCCGAGGCTGGCCAGTGGTCAGCGTGTGACCCATGAGGAGGTTCCGGCGAGGCGGAGCCCAAACACTCAGAGGACGGGGACTTTTTCTAGGAACACCTGAGGGCGAGGAGGCTTAGGCTGGTGCCCAGAGGCCTGGAGGTCTGCTCCAGGCCCGTGTCGACCTGAACTCAAATTCAGCCAGGTTCAAGTTCGCATCAGCATGGGACCTTATTTGGAAATAGTCTTTACAGAAGTCATCAGTTAAGATGAAGTTGCAGGATGTCCACAGACTTGGCTGGGCCCAGAGAAGATTTATAATTCCCAGCTCTCGTGCCTCTCAAAGCCTCCCCGGTGCTGGCCCAGATCAGCCTCAGTTCCCTTAGGGACCTGGCACTAAGCAGGTGACCCGTGAGTGCGAGAGATGGATGCAAGGGAGAAAAGGTAAAGTGGAGGGTCTGGGTGCCCGAATCATTAACTGTACCCATCTGAGGTGCCCCCCTTTTTTGCAGCACAAGGAATTAAAACTCAGTTTTTTGCACTAAGCTGTATCCTTGGCCCTTTTTATTTTTTATTTTGAGACAGGTCTTGCTAAGTTGCCTAAACTGAACTTGAGCTGTAATCCTCCTGCCTCAACCTCCCAGAGTGTGGTAGGATGACAAGTGTGCGTCACTACATGCAGATGAAACCCTCCCATTTTACAGAAGGGAAAATGAAGGCCCAGAAAGGGAGAATAATGCTTGAGGTAGTACTATTCATTCAAGGAGACGCAAGCCCCAGCCCAGTCCTAGCTTCCTGTCTTCTCCTCACTGTGGGGTCATCTCCTCCTGCGGTGCACAGGTGACTCACCGTGCCAGATCCGTGGCAGCCACTGCACTTGTACCGCCCGTGGCCACGGCACTTGTGACAGTCCTGAAAGCACAGTGTTTACCTTAGATCCAGTTTGCAAGCACCCCACCCCACCCAGATGCCACCACCTCACACAGAAGTGCAGGTTCAGAGCAGGACAGAAAGATGGCCTGGGGAACCCGTGGCCCTTCTATGACTCGGAAGTACCCTGGGAGTCCCTGACAGCACACCCCTACTTCCTCCAGGCTGGCCCTGTCTGTCCTGCATGCCAGCGAGGGGACTCTTAGAGCCTGACGGGGGGGCCCTGTATGATAGCAATGAACTTGCCACTAGAATTTAAAAATTACTCAATAAAAACAGCTTTGGAATACTTTGGTTCCCTCTCTGAATCTTTTTCGTCTTATAACTCTGTGAAAACACACAGAGAAAAAAGTCCCTTTCTTAAATCAAACTAATGCAAAAACAGGCAGGAATTAGAGGAGAAGAGAATAAGTGGGGTGAAAGGCCAGGCTCCCCCTCCTCTGCCCGGGCTTTATCGCTCTCACCAGAAGGAAGCAAAATGCTGCTTCCTGCTGACTCCCTGGGGAAGTACCAGTAGCGTTTCCACACACATTGGTTGTGTCGGTTTCACTGGGTCAGTTACACACCGTCAGGATACGTACTCGGTCACAATGTGACTAAGTTTGCTCACCGTCTAAAGCTGGGGACAGGTGTGTGCATAGGATGAGCTTTCTGCCTTGAGAATGCCCATTCCCTAATTCAAATGGAATTATGAGTCCAAGGTGCGTCCAGGGTTTGGGATTAGGCTTATTTGTACCTTGTAAAGAACAATCGGGCCGGGTAGAGGATTCTTTTTGAGAGGATAAGAAGCCAGCAGAACCTGGAAAATCAGCTCCAAGAAGAGCAAGTACCATCACACACCTTGACCAGGGAGGTGTGAGGCACCTGGGACTTCCTAGTGTCCTCCTGGAACATCGCGGGGACCTGGACCTGGATGTCCCAGAGCTTGGGCAAGGTGCCTCTCTGTGGCCCGTTGACTGAGTGGTCTGACACAGAAAATAGGTCCTTGTAAGAGCAGCAAAAGGCGATGGGGAGAAGATTTTATTTATTCACCGAGCAGGCATTAGGCCAGATCCCAAGTTGCATAAATGGTGTACAAGCCAGCCCATGCCATAATCCCAGCACTCTGGGAAGGAGGAGGATCCTAACTCTGAACCCAGCCGCCTTGACAACTTAGCAGTCTAGTGAGATACTGTCTAAGGATAAAAGTTAGAAAAGGCACTTAGTTCAGTCTTCATTAATTAAAAAAAAAGAGAAAGAAATAAGTGTATAAGGGTCTCCTCTGATGCTGGCTAGGCACTCAAGCTTTCAAACAGAGCATACCTGGGTGCAATTCTAGGCTAGCTACTCAGCCTCCCTAAGCCTCAACTTTCCCATCCGTAAAATGGGGATAATGGTGGAATCTACCATACAGGATGGTGACAAAACTGAACAGAATAATGTATACAACATGCAAGGATAGGACTGAGATGTGCCAAGGGCTCAGTAAACAAGAACTACCATCTATCGCCACCATCCCATCTCTTCCCTCTGTTGCAGGAGGCAAATGCAGATATGTCACTGTTCACTGGGACAAGATATGGCAAGCGCTCTGCGTAAGACCTTTGTAAAATGCTCCAAAAACTCAGAGGCCCAGGCAGTCCTGCTGGGGAGGGACAGCAGTGCCAAAGTCTTCATAAAAGGCAACACATTGGCCGAGTCTTGCAGAATGGACTGAGTGGCACAGCAGAGAAAGTAGACAGGACCAGGGCTTCCCAGAGAGGGAAGCACAGACCTGGGGGGCCTAGAGGTCTAGAAACCTTAGGGCCCCAGGGTTGGGTGGGAGGCAGGCAGCGCCCAAGAACTATCCGTAGCCGGTGGGGAGGAAGCATCTCCAAAGCAGCACTGGGGAGCCTCAGAGATGAAGTCAGCCCTGCGTTTCACGGGGACGGGGAGGCCGCGGCTCCAAGCAGACGAGCATCTCAGTCTTCGTGAGTAGCTGGCGCAGGCCCGGGATGTCCCACCCGCTCCTCCTCCTCCTCTGCCCCCAGCTGAGCTCAGACAGCTCACTTACTAGTGAAGGGTTGAAATGTCCACTCGCTTATCCTGGACTCGCTGAAGGTCTCCAGTCGGTACTACCAAGAGGAAACGCAGCAGAGCTGTTAGCTGGGTGTGGTGGGTGGTGCACGCCTGCAATCCCAGCACTCTGGGAGGCCGAGACAGGAAGGTACACCTGAGCTCAGCCTCAGCAGTTTAATGACTTAGTGAAACCCTGATGCAAAAATAAAGCAGTTTTTCAAAGGGTTGGGGATGTAGCTCCGTGCAGAGATATGAGTTCAATCCCTAGTACTAAAAAAAGAAAGAAAGAAAGAAGGGAAGGGAGGAGGGAAAATCAGCGTGCACACACGGACCCTTTATAAAGCTGGAGGCAGATGCCACCTGCTAGACTCGATGGGGAGACCCAGGGCTGCTCCCACAAAACACCCTGTGCTGTTCGGTTTACTGGCAACAGCAGTTCTATTCTAGAGGGCCTGAGCCACGTGCAGCAAGCTCAGCCAGCCCTGCAGCTCACGCAGGAGCAGTCTCAGATCCTCACAAACTGCTGGAGAAATGTCTGGGAAAGGTCTTGAAGCGACATCCGGCCTTCGATGCACAGAGGCCACACGGTCCACTGCTCTGCTTCCCTGGGAAGGAAGTGGCACGCCTAGCGTCCAGATCCTCCTTCTCAGTCCTTAGATGAGATGAAGGCAGGATCAGGCCACGGCTTGGATCTTCCTCATTCAGTGAAGAAGCAGAGGCTCAGAGAGATTGCTCGGTTGACTTGTCCAAGGTCACACAGTTCCTAGGTGGCCCCTTCCTCCAGGTCTCCTGGAGAGCCACTGCCGGTGTCCAATTTCTGTGTGACTGCATGCTCACTAGAGGACAGCCATGTCATGACACTAGAGAGAGTGAACTCTGTGCAGGAGCAGACAGGACTGCCCATGTCGGGGCAGATTTCCTGCAGTGACAAATGAATGGCTCCTTGGCACGGGACACCAGAAAACCCCAGAGGGGGCTGGCTCAGTGTGCAGTGGGTCGGGCCTTGGGGCTGGCAGTCCAGCTTTGGAGCCCAGCTCCACCACCTCTGAGCACATGATCCTGGGCCAGTGCTTTGCCTCTCCAGGCTTCCATCACTTCTCTGTAGACAGGCGGAATCTGCCCCTACATAACAAGATGTGAATGCCACATGCTTTGCACGAGTCTAGCACATTAGTGCATCTGAACTTGTCCGTGAAGATCTGTGATGTTTATTGCTTTTATTACTACTCATGGCTGCTGAACACAGAAACTGCAGAGGGGACTCGGCATCACCAAGTCCACGACGCGCCACCCTCACCCTGACTTCTGTTCCCTGACTCACACCACACAGCCCCACCCGTCCCAACACCCCAGTGTCCTGTCCAGAGCCTTACCCTGCAGAGGGTCTGCTGCCTCAGCTCCTGGATGACGAAGTCCCTGGCGGCTGCAGTGCCATAGCAGCATTTGGAGTTCACAAAGCTGAGGAGGGCCTCCCGGGCCACCGCCTCGGTCACAACAGGGACTCTGCTGCAAGGAACAGAGAGGTGCGGTCTGTCTGGGAAGGGCCTGTGGGCTTACGCAGGCCAGGCCCGGCGTGGGCAGGGCTACTGCACCCTGGAGAGGAGAAGAACTCCAAGAGCAGTGGCCACAGTAGAGCCCAGCAGAGTCCAACTGTAGGGGGTGCATTGGGCAGAGGGAATGAAGGCCAGATGCCAGGATGAGAAGGGAAAGTTTGCTCTAGAGGGTGCAAAAGCACAGTAGATGAAGGGTACAGCTTAGGAGCTGACAGATTATAGAACTCAAAAACCAAAACCAAACCAAAGAGGGTGTCCTGGGGTAGGAGGAGGCAGGTCAGGCAGAAGGAGCCTCCTGCCCTCAGGGAACGCAACTTGACCAGGGAAGCTAGCGGCAGCACACAGGGAATGAGCCCAGCCTGTGGGCCATGTGGGAAGGAGATGAGTGCCCTCTCTGCACCCATCCCTCCTCCCAGGAAAGCCCTCTGCCCTGAGAACGCAGCCCCTGCTGAAGCCTTCCCACCGCAGGCCCCGAGTGGAAGAACCCCTGCCTCGCGTTGCCCTCAGGCTCCAGAGCTGCAGCGTCTCTTTGGCAGCCCCGAGGGCCATTCAGTCCTGCTCTGCACACCTGGGTCTCCATACCCACCTGGCAGGGGAACAGACAGCAGGGCAGGGCACACTGTGCGGGGCAGGGGTAGAGATGCGTCCCCAGGGGAGGGGGGCTTTTTGCCTGGCACTGGGGAGGGGGGGCAGGAGCTGGGGACAGGGAGGTACCCTGTTTCTGGATGCAGAGGAGGGGGCACCCAGGTAAACCCCTTGGGGTTGGGGTGGACCCCTGAGGGGCCAGCTCCCCTTCCCTTTGCACCAAGCTAGCTGGGCAGCCTGGGCTTCATGCTGGCTTTCCAGGCATCCAGACCATGGCTTAGTAAACTCCACAATAGTGGGCCAGCTGGTAAATAGTTCAGCTTTCATGGGCTGCAGCCTCTGTCTCAGCTAGCGAACCCTGCTATTGTAGTGCAAAAGCTGCCATAGATGAAACACAAACTGTGTGTTTCTGTATCCCAGTGTGACTATATCCCAGAAAAATTTTGCTTACAGGGATAGCCTAAATTTGGCCACAGGCTTATAAACCTCTGGTGTCAGCTGTCTTTCAACTCTGGCTTTACATCCAACCAGCCGGAAGGACTCGGTGAATGCAGGCTCTCGACCAGAATCTGATTTGCCAGGTCAAGGATGGGAGGCATCCCCAAGGGATCCTGAGGCACTTCGAGGGCTAAGAATTCCCAGAGGGTGCTCTGCTAGGGTGGCAGTGAGGCGGGAGTGTGCGACCTGCTTCTCACCTGTGTTCCAGGATGGAGGGCCAAGACGGTGGCTCCAGCAGCCTCCCCAGGGCCTCTGAAGGTGGAAATGACACCTGCTGACCTGGGAGAGAGGGGAGGAAATGAACAAGCAGAGCCCCAGCAGCCACCCAGAAGAGCAGGTGAGAGCCGGGTGCAAGGAGAAAAGGCTGGCTGTGAGAAGGCAGGAGTGAGGAGGCACTTCTGAGACCGTCCATGCGGGGTGGGTATGGCAGATTCTAAAACCAGAGTACCGGGCTCTGAGACAGGCTTAGTCACTGTCAGGGGCTGGCTCTCATTCCCCACCCAGCATGAACCGGAGCTTCTCTGAGCCCGAGGGGAGAGGGAGCTGCCTCAGTACCTGTGTGTTAAGAGGTGTCCTCTCACCCAGCATGAGCCCCTGGCCAAGCTTGCGGGAGACCCACATGGACTTACTGTCCCTCTGAAGAAGATGGTCATAGCTGGGCAGTCTCTCCAGGAGTTCAGTGGAGGGTGCTGGAGAGTCCTCGGACTCGAAACTGAGGTCACTCACACCTGCAGGATGACACAGTGCTAAGCCATGGGGAAGATCAAGGGAAGCTGAGAAGCGGGATGGCTGCTCCAGAAAGCCAGATTAATAAGCCAGCCTCGTGGGGCTGGGGATTTAGCTCAGCGGCATAAGCACCTGCCTTCAAGCAGGCGGTCGTGAGTTCGATCCCCAGTACCAGCAAAATAAATAAGCAAATAAATAACAATAAGCCAGCCTCGTGCTGGGACACAGAACACATCTTCAGAGTAGAAGGTTAGCAGATTAACACATTGATAAGGTCAAAGCTGAGTGGCCCCTTTTGAGGTGGAGCCAGGTCAGGACAATGGTAACTCTGTTCTCCTGTGCATACTGCTGACTTGAAGATCACCCATGGAGTGACACAGACACTCACCAGGGGAAAGGCAGAGGGCCATTAGGAAGATGAGGGTCAGCACGGAGACTCTCTGGGTTGTGGGCCCCTGTGTGTCCACGGTACACGCCATCACAGTCAGAAGCCAGAGGAGAGATGCTCAGGAAAGTGGATCTGACCTGTGACTCAGCCCGGGCACCATCAGTAGACAGGACATGTGCAGACCCACCTCCTTCGGCTGTGAGTGAGCACTTCCCTTGGTGGCTGTATGATGGGACAGGATGTGTGCAGTGTCCTGTCCGTGAATGGCACATGTAAACTCTCAGAGAGAGCCGGGGCCTGAGGACGGTGGGTTTCCCTTTGCCCTGTGCTCCCATAAACCAGAGGACAACGTGAACATCACGTGTAGGAAGGGCATCGAGCACAGCCCTCTCCCCTGGCGTGGCCTGGCTCCCCTGAAAACCAAACAAAGGATCAGAAAGAGAGAGAAGAATGAGAGGAGGAAACGTCAGAGCTCCATCCATCATCTGGGGCCCACCCTGACCTCTGGGCAGCAGTCACATTTCTTTAGAGCTAAATTAATCTCGCCATTATGCTACGTACAAAAATAAAGATCCGGAGGCTGAGCTGCTGGAGGATGCATCATTTCCTGTGCAGACCTCAGCCAGCACAACAGGAATGTCACTGGGCATTGTGACAGGGCCCGCTCTGCTCCTGTTTCTGTGGTGAGACTTTCGGAGCAGTTGGGGCCACCACACCCTAATACATATGTCACATATGGCTCACAAGGAAGGTGCAGCACACCCCTTCCATGCATCATCGCCACCAGCTATCCCAGTGCACAGTAGAACGGAAAGCTCAGAGGTGTGATTGGGGCCACCAGTTCACACCCCCAGGGGAAGAGAGCTCAGAGAAGATCCTCTCTCCAAGCCCAGGGACGTGGGCTACTTAGCTCAAGTCCCGGTCTCCCCCCAGCAGCACGCAAACATCAAACAGCTATTGAGAAAAGTTTGAAAAGACAGTCATTTTGTTCAAAAAGAAGTTTTCCTTATGGAAAAAGGGGCCATTAATAGATGACCCCTTCAGCTTCCCCTTTTGAAAATGCCATTCTTTCTAATTCAGATGATAAAAGCAATTTAGGACAGTTGCCCCTGGTTCCAGATGAGTCAGCCTAAAAGCACAGAAAAGCGTGTCCCTGCGGCCCCCGGTGCCACAGGACTGTGGCGTTTTGCTGTGTAATCTGTTGGTATGGACGGGTGTGCAGCCCCTTTGAACAGTGCCCCTCTTCCGCCTGTCACCTTGACAAAGAGCGACATGCAGTGGGCACATCAGAGCACCAAGTGGGTGCACGTGGATTCCTTGTGGACTGAATGACACTTGAGATGTGCAGGTGACAGAGACAGGAGGTAGGGTGACGGCTGCCGGGGGCCCTGAGGAGGATGACACGGGAACTTTGTCAGTGCGGAGAGCTCCCGTTTTGCAAGATGAACAGGGTTCCGGAAACGGAGCGTGGTGGTGGCTGTGAGATCCTGTGCGCAGCCCGAGTTGTGCATTTACAAGGTGTGACCTGAATAGAGGGTGAAGGCTTAGTACATGGGCACTCGTTCCCTGCTCTGAACACATTCTCCCGTTGCTCCTGCCGCTTTCCGAGGCAGCTCAGGAGTCTTCTTTCCTGTCTTTATGAGGCGTGATAAAAACTATGGTGAATACTTCTGCCGAAGGCAGGCTCCTGAGAATGTTACGGTGAGTCCTCACCCACCTGACACACTGGATCTAGCGCGGTGTGACTGCTAGCTCTTCCTCAGAGCAAACATGATCATGGAGGTAAACGTTTTGAACCCAGGCAGTCACGACAGCGACACTCAGTGAGCAAGACTCCCAGAGCTGCTTCAGAAAGCAGCAGGAACCATGGGAGAGAGGCTGAGGTGAGGGGAGGGATTTCAGGGACTCACAGGCAACGGGACCTCTGGGGTCTAGCAATGTTAACACTTTTTTAAAATGCTTTTTAACATTCACTTTACTTTTTGATCAGACCCCACTAAAAATGACAACGATGGCAAAGCTTATGTGTGTTTTCCCACAAATAAAAATAACTTTAAAGAGCAAGAGATGCAGATGATCACAAGAGAAAGGACGGGAAGAAGTTCTGCTTTGCTAAGAACAAACCAAACAATGTTGGCCTCACAATTTAAAGGCATTTTTAGCAAGACTGAAAACCTATCACTCTCTCTCACCGAGAGCTGCTGTGTCCACTGCTGCCCACGGTCACCTTTATTTTATTTTGAGACAGGATTTTGCTAAGTACCTAAGTTACTCAGGTAACTTGAGGCTGCCCTATGGGATTTCATCTGCACATGGGCCAGGGAAAAGCCTTTCTGTGTTTTCCAGACAAGGATGAGAGTGGAAAACAGTCAGACGGGAGTATAAAGCCAGAGGCCTGCAGGAGGGAAGTGTGAGCACTTGGGAGCCTCGGCTGCCATGGGGTGACACCAGCATCCGGAGAAATGGGAAGCTGAACTCTGTAGTACACACCTGCATCCCAACACTCAGGGAGGCCGAGGCAGGAGGATCACGAGTTTGAGCCCAAGCTGAGGAACTTAGGTGCTTAGCAAAATCCTGTCTCAAAATGAAATAAAAAGGACTGGGGGTATAGCTCAGGGTGAAGGCTCTGGATCCAACACTTGTAACACAAGTGGGGAGAGGGGAGAAGGGGAAGGAGGGCGGGGAAGGGGTGACGGCCTGGGAGAAGGCCTTGCTGAGAGAGCTCTGCCGGCCCTCCCAGCCCCTTCTGCCCCCAAAGAGAACAGCAACCACTGTATTATTTTCAATTATTTGGGACTCTGATTTGCAACTGACTTGAATCATTGGAGATGATGATTTACAGCTGTTTTTCAATTATTTAGGGTATGAAACTCGTGAGTTGGAGAAAGCTCCATCATGCCAAGACCAGGTCACGTGGGTGCTGGGCCATCTAAGCCCTGCTCCTGCTGTTCAGCGGTAATTTCTGACTTCATGGCGTTTACACACACGCGGGCGCACACACGTCACTTTCTTGGCCTAGCTTTGTACCCTGTCAGCCTGCCCAGACCTGCTACCTTCATCTCCCCTTCCCCACACCCTGTTCCCTGGGGTCACGGCCCCCACTAATACAGCACCCTATAGGTAGGTGGAGGTTTTAGTCACCCTGGCCCTCAGCTGGGAGCTCAGCACAAAATCCCAGCACAGAGGTAGGTGGCAGGGAACTCACATGTTTTAGGGCATCATTTTCCATTCCCTAAAACCAGGGCTTGGGAGTCCAGCAGTGGAGAGGGAGAAATGGGTTGTGGATCAGAGGGGGCTCTGGAGCTGGACTCAGGAGAGCCCTGGGCTCTCCCTGAGCTTGGCCGGATTTCATAGAGCTGATACGTCTTATACCTCCCCAGAGGCAGAAGCCACCTCTTCCTGTTGGGGTTACAGGACCCACCACTCCCTGTAGGAATGCAGCAGCCTACAAGAAGCACCAGGGGCCCAGGAGCCAGGGCTGCCCAGTGGGCAAGACCTGGACATCAGCACAGCATCTGCACCCTGAGGGTGTGTGAGAGCCCAAGGGCAGGACGGGAGGAAACACACACCTTCCCACCACCATACCAAGAGAACCTCCATGGCTGTGTCAGGTCTTCAGCAAGAGGTCAGGGGAGGAGAGGACAGTTAGGTAAACCTTTTGGGACAGAGCAGACCCAAGTGCCAAACAAGGATCCCCTATGCCCAGCCATTCAGGGAGATGGCAGTATGGCCTCGGATCAGGATTCTCACCCATGAGCTCAGCTCTGCCCTAATTCCATGGGTCAGGCCCCTGACCTGAGATGCCCCCTCCAAAGCTTATAGGGGCTGGAGTTACAGTCCATCTTACTTCAAGATCCTCTTGCTTATCCTGTCTGGGAAGCTTTCAGTCTACAGTAAAAGAAGTATATTACAAAAGATGAGGTGTACAGAAAAACAGAAATGCTCCCTTCTGCTCTGTGCTGGAACATCACACTCTAGGCTCAGAGTGGCCTGCCCACCCATAGCCAGGGCTGCTGAGGAGCAGATCTGCTTAGTCTAAAAAGACTCTTAGGGCTGTTAAGCAAGGAGTGGTCTTGGTACCTAGAACTGAGGCCAAACACGCTCTAGGTAAGGATTTGTTCCCTTGATTTAACACGGTGTTGCCATCTGTCACTAGAAAGGTGATGACCATGCTGGGAGAAGCTCCTGGTCACTCGCCACATGCCACCTGCCACCTGCCACAGTGCCCACTGGCCTTTGTGGTGATCTCTACTGAGTGCCAGGTCCAGCACATTCCTATCCAGGCTGACTTCAGAGCAAGTTTTTCTCTTTGAAACCACTGGCTCAGTACATAATGCACAAGTTCTGCAGTGGGCTCCCTTCCTCACACCCGGAGGACAGGTGTCCTGCCTCTGGTCCACCCCCTGGGTTTTCACCCCTTTTATAAGTGACCCCCCCTTCAGGGTGTTTTTCCTGCTGAGCCTGCCTCATAACCAGGGCTTTCAGAATCGTGAGGTATTAAAGCATTCATCCTGCTCTCAGCTAGCTTATGAAAAGTCACCTGACAACCCAGAAACCTCAGGGGTGATCACATTTTCCATGAATAGCTGTCTACTTTTTTTTGTTTTTTGTTTTTGATTGTTTGTTTGTTTGTTTTTGAGGCAAGATCTGACTTTGTAATTTAGGCTGGCCTGGAGCTCAAAGCACTCTTCCTACATCAGCCTCCCAGGTGCTGGAATTACAGGTGTGCACCCCATGCTTGACTTGGTTACATTTTTAAGGGTTTGGGGGCCTAATCTGATCACATGAAGCTCTCAAATACTTAGTAAGATTGCTCCACACTGTCTCCTACTTTAATGTGAAAAAGATCATAACAGAATTTAGATTGGGCTAGTTCTAAGATTAGTATAGGGTAGCTGTGTATTCTGTTTCAGTTCTAATCCCTAAAGCTTTACAATACCAATGTTAAAGGTAGCACAGTCAGGCAGAGGACCCTCCCGCTCACCGTGCCTGGTGATGCTGAGGCTGCATCCGTGTCACGAGCCTTCAGGATTCAGAGGAAGCTGTAGGCGCCACACACAGCTCCCCAGAGCCCAGGCATGGCGCTTTGCCCACATCCTCACTGGCTTCAAGCTAAGAACCCCTAATCTAAGGTCTATTGATAGATGAGGAAATTGAGACCCATGGAAGTTGAGTGACTTGCCCAAGATGGAACCGTCACCTCGGAGCAGACCAGGACTCCAAGCCTAAGGTCTTGATTCCTGGTCTGAGCTCTTTCCTCCCACCGCATAGCCCCATCCAAATTCAGGATCCAAAGTTTCTTCTTTTCAAACACAGCATAGTTCTTCCTAAAACAC